TGTGTGACCATTCTAAAATATGTCTAACTATAATATTTTAGACATCGACCCAAGTTGTGAACAACATTTCACTCCTTCACTTAAAAGAGAGAATGTGAGATTCACGATTCATTTTTGTCACATTGGTTTTCACATTGATCTAGTTTGAAATCGATTTCATCATTTGTATTTCTGTTCCATATGTGGACAAAAAAAATTTCCGACTTGATTATAAAAAAAATATCTGTAAACCGACTCAGTTACACTGTATTTTGCCACTTTGTACACTATACATGCAAATGCACTAAATGCAATTGCAATGACACAGTTTCTTTCCTTATTATATTTTGAGATTTCAAACAACAAATAAATTATTCGTCTTTCAAGCTTCCAAATTGCCTTTAACATTGGTGCCAAATCAAAAAAAAAATAGGCCAACTTCTGTTGATAATGGTAGTGAGTGACTATCTGATATAATCGGCCTCATCAACTCACAAATCAAAGAGAAGAAGCTGGACGGAATCAGATATTTTGAGACTCAAGGAAATTTTTTATTCTTCAGTTGGCAAGTTCAAACCAACAGCTCGTAGTGAGTTTCTGCTTCTTCTTTATTTATATATTTTTCTGGAGTCGGATTTGAAATTTGCAAAGGGCTAAATGGTGTTTGATATTTGGTAAATTAGCAAATTCAATAGTTGTGCGATAACAAGAGTATTAACCATTCATGTTGGCTCTAGAAGGACGAAGAAAGAAAAAAATAAAAAATTCTAGACATCGTGCGGACGGAGTCTCCTTGTGCACACGGAGATAGCACCTCCGTGCTGCACGGAGGCACATGGAGATGTCTCAGTGTGCTATCCAATAACTTCATCTGCCTGATGATTTACATCAGTTAAAACTAATTTGCTTCAAGATTAAACCTGAGGAGAAATAGGATGATAAAACCTTTTCTTTCTCAAGATTAAGGCTCTCCAGCTTCTCCAACTCGTACTTCCTCCGTATATCATTAATGGCCTATCAGACTCCTCCCAAAGTTAATTGCAGGGATCAGAGGAAAAAAGAGAAATGCTTAATAATCATGAATGTCTTGTAAGGTTGATAATGAAGAACACCCTATCATTTTTCTGAGATATTTCTTTTAGATGTAAAAACTAATTAACAGCTCCATAGAAACACTGTACCTCTCCATCACGTTCGGGAGTGTTAAACCCCATTGTTTAAAATGATGTCTTTTATGTTAGTGTGTGCAGGTAATATGAGGCCTTAAGAGGAATTTACACTTTTTCCTTGGCAAACTTTTGACTGACTTAACAGTCACAAATTGAACATTGGTGTTGGTATTAAAGTTTTGCTCTTGTGGAATTTCTTTATTACTCTGCTGCTTTTCCTTGCTTTCAATACATTCTTTATCGAGGTTTAAATCTGAAAATGAAGATAGCACTAAAACTACTATATCATTGTTTTCCAGGTCATCAACAAAGTATAATCCTCAATTGATTGCCCACTAAAATAGGACATGAACTTGTCGTGCAGAGGATCCTGGAGCTTCTGCATTCTATATCTTCGTGGAGACACTATGGAGACACACCACTGTCTCCGTGGAGACACAGAGACACATGTCATGAAGACATCTCTGAACACGGGAGACACGGAGACACATCTTCGTGGAAACACGGAGACCTTCGTATCTCCACGGAGTTGTGTCTCTGTGTCTTCCATGGAGACATGGAGGAGACCGTGTCTCCGTGGGGAGACAAGGAGGCTGTCCAGTAGTTTTTATCTTCATAACAAATAAAATTTGAACCAGTGGATATTCTTATAATTCTACTATGAAAAGGGTTTTTCTAAGTCCCGTTTCAGTAGTTTTCTAACTTTTCTCTGCATTTTGTTCATTCCTCTGTATTTATCCCATGCCAATGCTAAAAACTCTATACATACTGATTTTGTTGTGGTTATGTAGCTTTGATTTCAGTTTCTGTCTTCTAGAATAAACTAAATATTTTATATTTGGATAAAACTGGCACAAGCTAGCTTCTTTAGTTAATTTACTCACAGATAGCAGGAAGTTGAAGGGCTTCAGGCAGAGAGAAATGTCGTTGCGAACAGGATGAAGGGAAAAATGGAACCCTCTGAGCATCAAAAACTCATAGAAGAATGTTTCTATTGCATTTCTATAGCTTACTTGAATATTAATTTCAATCATCTTTTGCTAATTTAAGTATGTTTCATCCAGGTAAAATTCTCAAGGAAAGGCTTGTTACCCTGGAAAGAGATCTTCCCAAACTCACTGATGAGCTTCAGCAGGAAGCACAATGTGTGCCAAATATGACACATCTAGATGTTCCAATAAGAGAAGACAACTGTTCTACTATAAGAAAAATAGTATATAATTTTTCTTGCTCCAATATCTATCCAAAGATTGCTCATATATTTTTCATAAATTTCTGTACAGAGATGAATATGGATATATAACAATGCAAAGATGGAAATAGAGAAGCTAAACTAGGTAAAAATTACGCCTATCATAATGGTTGACCCTTAAATGAAGGATTCTAAACAATTTGCCTACAATTTCTCCAATCACTGATAGCTCACGCCAACACTCCCCCTCAAGTTGATGCATATATATCTTTCATGCGCAACTTGTCAAGTGAATTGTAGAAGACTTTGCCGGAAGTAGCCTTTGTAAGAATGTCTCTGCCAATTGATCTTGAGACCGAACAAATGGAAATCGAATTATCTTTTCTTCGAGATTTTGTTTGATGAAATTTCTATCCACTTCCACATGTTTAGTATGGTCATGTTGGACTGGGTTATGGGCAATATCAATGGCTACTTTGTTGTCACAAAACAGGTCTATTTCAGAACTAGGAGCAACTCCAATCTCAGTTAGCAACCTTTTAAGCCAAATGAGTTCACAGATGCCCTTGACCATTCCTCTGAACTCAGCTTCAGCATTGGATAATGCCACCACCTTTTGTTTCTTACTTCTCCATGTAACAAGATTTCCTCCTACGAAAGTGAAGTAGCCTGATGTGGATTTCCTATCAGAAATATTTCCCGCCCAATCTACATCTATATAACCCTCAATGTCTAGATGATTATTTTTTGAGAACATAAGCCCTTTTTTCCAGGAGAGGACTTTAGATAGCGAAGAATCTGAATTACTGCATCCATATGATCTTCACTAGGACAATGCATAAATTGACTCACTACGCTTACAGCATAGGCTATATCTGGGCGGGTATGAGATAAATAGATCAGCTTACCCACTAATCTTTGATATCTCTCTTTATTTGTTGGCACGTGATCTGAATACTTTCCAAGTTTATGATTCTGAACAATTGGGGTATCAGCTGGTTTACAGCCTAGTAGTCCTACTTCAAACAATAAATCTAGCACATATTTCCTTTGAGAAAGAAATATACCCTGTTTCGATCTAGTTACCTCAATTCCCAAAAAATATTTGAGTCCTCCGAGATTCTTCATTTCAAATTTAGTTGACAGTTGCCCTTGAAGTCTAGAGATCTCTTTGATGTCATCTCCTGTAATGATCATGTCATCTACATATATAATTAGAGTTATTACCTTTCCTAGTCGGTGTTTCAAGAATAGTGTGTGATCTGAATTGCTTTGGGTAAAACCATACTTTCTCATAGCCAAGCTAAACCGACCAAACCATGCACGAGGTAATTGTTTTAGTCCGTACAGTGCCTTTTGTAACTTACACACAACCTCAACCTTTGAAGATGTCATGTATCTTGGTAGAATGTCCATGTAAACTTCCTCATTTAGATCACCATGAAGAAATGCATTCTTTACGTCAAAATGATGTAACGACCAGTTCAAATTTGCTGCAAGGGATAATAAGACTCTGACCGTTTTCAGCTTTGCCACAGGTGAGAAGGTTTCTTGGTAGTATATGCCATATTTTTGTGTATATCCCTTTGCCACAAGTCTCGTATGTACCTTTCAATGGATCCATCTGCTTTGTGTTTAATGGAGAAAACCCATATGCACCCCCACTGTCTTCTTTCCTTTTGGTAATGGAACAAGAGCCCATGTTTTATTCTCTTCTAGAGCTTCCATTTCTGTTTTTATAGCTTGAGACCACTTTGGATTTGATAAGGCTTCTTGTACTGTGCTGGGGGCATGATATGAGGACAACCTATGCACAAATTTCTTGAGTGGTTCTAGTAATCTCTTAGTTGACACATAGTTGGTAATCGGGTATCTTGATCTTCTTTCCTCAAAATCTGGAGAGTATCGATGTGGTGACTTAACACGATTGTGTCTAAAAGGTAAAGTATAACCAACAGAAAGGGATTGGTTCATTGATTTTTATGGAGATGGACGAAGGCGACACAACCAAAGATCCTTGGTGGAAGTAGTAAAATAGTAGGCAAGGAAACATGTTCAGAAAGAACCTGCAATGGGGTCTTGAACTGCAGTACTTTCGAAAGCGTACGGTTTAATAGATATACTTCCATGGTAATAGCATCATCCCAATAACTACTCGACACATGTGCCCCAAGCAAGAGAACACGGGTTGTTTCTAGGATAAGCCGATTCTTCCTTCCAGCAACTCCATTTTGTTGGGGTGTTTGAACACATGACGTTTCGTGAAGAAGGCCATGGGTCACAAAGTAATCCTGAAATTTCTTATTAACATATTCACCACCATTGTCAGAGCAAAGGATCTAAATTTTAGCTGAAATTTGAGTTTGAATCATTGTATGAAAAGATCGAAACACACTAAACACATCATCCTTATGTTTCAACAAATATAACGAAGTCATACGAGTACAATCATCGATAAATGTCACAAACCAGCGAATGCCAGAAGAAGTGGTAATTGGAGAGGGTCCCCAAACATCTGAATGAATTAAAGCAAAAGGAATATAGTTTTTATTCGAACTTGTGAAGACATTCGATGACTTTTGGCTAGAATACAAGTATCACATGTAAAACCAAAGTCAGGTAATTTGGAAAATAAATCTGGAAATAAATATTTCATACAGTTAAATGACGGATGCCCCAAGCGCCGATGCCATAGCCAAATATGTCTCTCCTTAATGCTTGTGTGGTGCATATGATGACCCTGACCAGAGCTGAAGTCATCCATGTAATATAACCCCCCCCCCTTCTTAGTACCACGCCCAATGATCTCCTTGGTGAGAATATCCTGAAAGTGACAGAAAGTAGGATATATTAGTGCAACACAATTTAGTTCCTCAGTAACTTGTCCTACAGACATCAATTTATTTGAGAGGGATGGAACTAATAAAGTATTAGATAAAGAAAGAGATGATAAGGCAACAGTTCCAGCCCCTGTAACTGGATATGTAACCCCATTAGCATTCGCAATATCAGTTCGCCTTGGTTGGGTAACTTCAATAAAATCATCTGAATTGAATGTCATATGATCTGTGGCCCCGGAGTCAATTATCCAGCCATTATCACAATTCTGGATAGAACTAAGTAGGGCATAACCACAGTTACCTTGATCATTAAGATAAGTTTCATCACTCGAAGACTTTATTTGTGAGGTAAGAGATAACTGAGGTGTTGCAGTTACCATGGCAGCCCTGCCAGACCCTTCATTAGAGACAGCATCACGATTTTTCCGGGCCTTGTACTCATTCCACCAATCTGGGTACCCATGTAACTTGAAACAAGTTTCACGGGTATGTTTCATGCTCCCACAATGAGTACAACCTCCTCCTTCTGATTGAAACTTGGTTTTGGTATTCAGTTTCCCACCACCTGTAGAGCAATTTTTGGATAACTGAAGAGAAGGTCGTTGTTGTTGTCCTATCTTGACTCCTTTTGATGCCATAAGCTCCAGTCGTGCTTGTGCCCGTGAGCATCACCGCCTGCTGGATCTCCTCCCGTCGAACATGAGCATATGCCTGTTCTATGGTAGGAAAAGGACGCGTCTGTAGAACATCACTTCGAATCTTGTCCAGTCAATCGTCCAATCCATTAAGAAAAATATAGAGTCTATCTTCTTGTAGGATTGTATTATATTTTTGTATATCAGTGGCACATTTCATTGGGTTAGGACGCCGGAAATCAATTTCTCTCCACAAGCCTTGAAGATCATTGTAATATTTTTCAATGGATCCTCCGGCTTGTTGCATTTTAGTCACCGGTCTTTTTAGATCATATACTTGTGAAGTATCAATTCCATCAAAATAAGTAGTAGCAATAGAATCCCATAACAGTTTTGCAATTGCGAAGTGAATGAAATTACTGATCAAGGTTGGGTCCATAGAATTGATTAGCCATCCTTTGACAATTGCATTCTCAGTTCGCCATCGTCAGAAAGTCGGATCTGTAGGTTCAAATTGCTGAAAATCACCATTGATATATCCCAATTTGTCTTTGCCCGAGATATGCATCTCAACAACTTGGGACCAGAGGGCATAGTTGGTGCCATCCAGCTTAATGCCGATTTGTGCAGCGGAAGCATCATAGGTAGGTAAGTGGGTTTGGGTTTGATTTCTGGTCAAGACTTCAGTCATTCTTGCCGTCAGGTCTTCTAGGATAGAATCTGTGGAATTGCCGCCAGTTTGTATCACATCAGTTGGGTTCACAATGCTGTCAGATTGTACCACATCAGTTGGGTTCACCATGGCTGCATATCAGAGTTTAGGGTTGGGTTTGGTTGTAGAGCAAGTCCTAGGGTTTTGCTCTGATACCATATCAAAAGATTGCTCATATATTTTTCATATATTTCTGTACAGTGATGAATATGGATATGTAAGAATGCAAAGACGGAAATAGAAAAGCTAAACTAGGTAATACACAAATAACGCCTATTATAATGGTTGACCCTTAAATGAAGGATTCTAAACAATTTGCCTACAATTTCTCCAATCACTGACAGCTCACGCCAACAATATCTTCCTAGACATGAACTGCTTCACCTTCCTCTTACTCCCCTTCTCTCTGACCTTTCAATTTACTGTTTGTAGTTTGGCAAACCTCGTGAATTTAACTTCTCTGTGAAGGGTCATGTGCAGCTTGGAAAAGATTTAAACATATTTGATTTTGATGCTGCTGTTGAGGTAATGTTTCTGACCGTAAGGTATTCAGCCATCCATTACCTAACCGTGAGGATTTTATTCCATGCCATCCTTCCAGTTACTTGAAATGACAATCTTTAAGTAAAAATGACACTTAAAATTCCTACAAGTCAAGTAAACTCTACATTTATTTTGACAAGGAAAACAAACAGCCTTTAGATTCTCTGAGTCACAATCCCCTAACATAATTAATAAAAATAATAAGCATGGACCCTTTTTACTTAGACTTGCTGGTTTCATTCTTCATCAACTTCTTTGGTCTTAGTTATTTGCTTAGCTATAGTGTGGGTTTGTTTTCAACACGTACACGTTCGTAATTTCATGCAAAAATGTGGAATTATTATCAATGTTTCACTTAAAGAGGAAAAAAGGGAAGAAAAGAAGGGAAATGGGGTTTTCCATGGTATAGTTTCTATCTGTTGCTTTTTTGGGTTGTAATGCTTATTATCTCGTTGATAATGTGATAAAGTAGAGAGTATCAACTAATGATAACAAACATGTTTCTTTCTATGTTACAGAATTTATATTTTTAACTTTAAATAACTGACTCCTTGGATGATGCTAGACTGCTGAGTACGAATGAGATATACATCAATGTGCCCATAATTAAAATAAGTTCTTCTAAGAGCTCTTCTAATTAAAATAAGCATTTTCACAAAATTAACCAAACGCATCCAAAAGTTTCTTTGACTTCTCAAAAGTCATGCAAAACGGACCTATTCAAATATACTCGAGAAGTAATATAGGTATTCTTCTACTATGATTGTGTCCATAAACTCAATTAGACACGAGAATTGTAAAGATTTCTAGGGGGGAATAAAGATCTAAATTAGTTATAGTATGGAACATCTTCCTTTTAAGTTAATCCATTATCGGATTATAAGTTCATAATGGTTTCTTTTTGACTCTTTTGTTTTATGCGATTAAAAGTTTTGATTTGTTTATAAAATTAATGAAATCGGAATACGTTTTTTTGTTAGGTTGGCAAAGAGCAAACACGTCGTTGCACCGATCATACCGAACTCTTCAAGTTCTTTATAACTAATATTGTATTTGATGCATCCACTACTCCATTTGTCGTGTATGCTTTTGAATTAGTTTAAGGCTGCAATCGGCGTGTTGAGATTGGAATTGTTGAAAAGATCATTCAAAATTTTCCTATTTTGACGTACCAGTTTTTATGTGCCTTAAAAGTGTATTATTGTCTAAAGTCTTAAGCTTTGATGTCTCAGGAGAAGGTTATAAAAAAATCATATGAAGAAGTTGGGGATAAACCTTCATGTTGTCAACTAATTTTTCTGTGGCGAAAGATAGTGTAGTTTTGCTGATGTCAGGCCATTTAATACGCAAATGCTTAATTTTGAGTTAATTAGAACAAGCCAATTACTTGTGTAATGTATTTGTAATCAAAATTTTAAAACATTTAAAAGTAATTCATTATTATCATCTCAAGTTGTTGGATTTGACCTTCCTTTTTGTGTATTATTAAAGCTTATGGTAGATTTTATTATATAAAATCACTTTTCAAGATATATGTGGTGGAAAATTGATAATTGCAAATTGATAAATTGAGAATATGTAAAGAGTTTTTGATGGGTTATCCTATGAATGAAAAACCTTTATGTGATTATTTTGATTTTCAGATTGAGGAATCATATCTTTCTCAAAATTCTTTATCTTAGAATAAAGAAATCAATTTTGGTTATTAAGAGAAATTCATAGGATGATCATCTTGTTGAACTTATTTTGGATTAAGGATATTACAAGTGGTGAATCAATACTGTTTGCTCCGATATTACCTTAGTATGCAATTTGGTTGTGTAAAATTAAACCATTCTGCTACTTCAATGTGATTATATTGTCAAAAAGTTAAAAACTGTAATGTCTATTAAATATATGATAGGGTATAACAATTGATTTTGCACCCTTCTTTTGTAGGAAAGATACATGACTATACTGATGATATTGTCACGTAGGCTATTAGTATTATACAGAGATGATATTGATATTATAAGAATATTTGAAGCAAACTATATATCCTTTTAAAGTTGTATGATAAAAACATAACAAATCTTGAATTAACAAATTGGTGAAAGACATGCAGTAAAACTATTTCTGCCATCCTCTATTTTGCTCGTCTATGTTTTCACTTATTTCAATTTCAAAACTGGCCAGGTTTGTTTACATTGTCAAGTGTTTCTTTTTTCTTTTCCTCAAATAAATAAGATTATGAAAATATGCATATATACCTGTAAAGGGCAGATGGGAACTAAAAGTGAATACATATTGATTATAATGCAAGATAATTCCTACATCTCATAGAGTAAATTGTAGCTTTATCTCTGTTTGAACAAACATTGTATCATCATTTTGACAAATCAGAGTCCCTATCACTTTTTCTTTTTCTTTTCGCTGATATATTTGTTATTGAAACAACGTGGCCAAGAAATTAAGGTTGTGAGTCAACTAGACATGACAGATGTAAAAAGGTTTAGGAGTGAGCAAATTACGATCAGAAAATAATTCCCTGACATGTACAAGCAACAATACAGAACCCTTTCTTATAATTTATATTAAAACAACTGGTTTCCCATTCTATGATTGAATGATGTCCTTGGAAGTTGAAAAAATATGGTTAAATATTGCAAAAGATGGTTTTTGATTTGCAATTATTATTATTTTTATATCAGAATACATACCATTTCCATGGTTAGTTTCTATTCTAAGATCATGTCACAACTACTTGGTTGAAAACTTGGAATAATACGGGTGAAATAATGCAAAATACGTTTTTTTAGCCACAAAACTATTCTCTAGCAATTTATACCATGTTTGTGTTCTTCCATGAAATTTATTTTGAGGTTTAAAATCAAAGTTAATTATGATGTAGGGATTGGAGCTTATACCATCCGAATATTTCACATCCCCGTGATGGCTAGGTCAATCATTATAACAAATATAATGAAAGGTACCTAAGCACCAAATATTACGGAGGAAATGAGTACACCTAGCTGCTTTTATTACATTGTATCACTTGAAATTTTGCTTATTGTTGTGTAAAATGATTATTTTTTACACAAACATAAATATATGACAATAACCAGTTTATTTGTCTTTTTCTTACCATTTACCAAAAAAGTTCACCAACTGATATATTAAAATTTTTGGGGTTAGAAGATATAGAATGCTGAATCAATATTTGTCTTTCTTACATAGATGTGTAAATATGTGTTATTGGCATTTTTTTATAATTTGTGGAACTTGATTTATCTATGTTAAGATACATTCACATGGCAGAGACATTGTTGTCAGAAGAGTGCTTTAGAAACTTTTCAATTGGACCCTGCAAAATGGGGAGGTAAACAGCTTTCCTGGTTGATTTAATACTATTAGGTATTTAGTGTAATTTTTACAGAGTAGATTGAGAACTCCATTTATTTTGATAAAATTATATTCACCAACCATCACAAGTTTCTACTATTGAACTGCTATAAATAAAGTCCTATTAAATTATATTTTGAAGTGTGGGTTTTTCACATTGGGTCATAATCTTTTTTTGATTCAGATTATCATTCCAATTTATGCCAATTTAAGGAATATCTTGTCGGTCTTGAACTTATTATATAATTTGTTATACAATCTCCCGTCTAATCTAAGCATTCAAAACGCTAATATTATCTTAAAAATAAGACAACCCGTGCATTGCACGAGGCAAAAACTAGTAATATAAAAAAGCAGCATAAATAAATTGCAGGGAAGAAGATAAATTGTGCTCTTAACTTTACTAGAGTCCAAGAGTAATTTTTGCAACGATTGTCCATTCATTCCCCACATTGCAAACCAGAAGCATAAGCACAAGAAGAAGAAGAATACTACTCACTCGTTTCGGAGCATATAATTAAAATGCATGACTCCATTGAATTGTTTCCACCAACATTGGTATTATTATGGTAGAAAAAGAAACCTCGTTCTGTCATTTTATAGTTCAACCTATATGGCGATGCTTAAGGAAAGCTGCACAGTCATGACACAAGTTGATATGATATCCATACAAGAGTAAGTAACTTTGTGCTTCAGTATAGTAGTGTCCAATAGGTGAGGGAGAACTGTTTATATCTAATCTCAGACAAACTCTTTGTATTCTTAAAATTATGAGCACGGATCACCAGAGTACAGAGGAGAGCCCAGTATTTCTTTTTTCTGGTAAACTCGTTATGGTGGTAACTCTGAATCTCTTCAGTCTGCAGTCACCTTGTTTCCGGCAAAAAAACCAGTGGTATAATAGAAAATTGCAGAGGCTCAACACAATTTTATTAAGCAACACGACGGTCTAACTGACACATAACAAGGGCAACATACACATTTAAGGAGAAGCATCCCTTAGGAGTTAGGATAAGACAATCCATGAAAATCAAATATTTAAAGCACGCTGCATAGAGTGTGATCAATTCTTTACCGCATTAAATGCATAGATCCATAAATGATTTTTTTCCAGTAGCGTGTGCTGATGAACTGGACTGCTCTTGTCATAGCTAGAGCTGTAACAATGAAAGCATAAACATGGATGGAGTACATAAAACCCTTTTTGTTCACATTTCTGAAGAAGCAAAGATGCCAACACACTAATAATTTACTGTAGATTTGATTGCGTCCAGTATCTGTTAGGCAAGAAAGGGACCACATCCATATCAGCAATCTGCTAGCACTAATGGGACAGTTTTTGCAAATGAGCAACAATAGATAACTAACCTTATTCTTGGTTGGCAGATAGAATGGTTCAAAAACAAGAGGAAAAGGAGTATCGAGGCCACATACTCTGGCTACTGGAGCTTCTAGCTACAAAACAGTTAAAATCTAGCTCTTAAGATGAGCTACCCAAAAGACCAACAAGAGTTTCTTGAGAATAGAAAACTGAAAAGGGATCAACAACTCAGGTACTTCCACCTGTCTAAAAGTTAAATAAATTATATCAGACTATTAATATGTAATATGAATCAATATGAACAGTAAGGTCAAAATGGTGGACATGAGGGAAGAGGTGTTGTGTGTGACAACAGCTGTAGCTATCCTTATCTAGGCTTGTCCTGCATCCGGGTTAACACTAAGAGGGCAAGATTGAACCATGGAGCACGGGCAACTATGTTAATGTTTATGGTAATTTCACTTGGGTCATCTAACATCTCAATCAATCTTCATTGTAATGAGGAGTTATACCAAAATTGTTAAATTTTTCCTCATTCTATAGGATCTGCCAGATATGCAAGACTCAGGTGTAATTTGCTGATACATTCCAAAAATAATAAGTTCAATTTGTCTTTTTCAGTTCATTTTGAAAAAAGATTGCGGAATATTCAATAGCAAAGTTAGTCCTGTGTGCTCCCATGACTATTTATTTACCTTGTAACGAATGAACTAATAACTAACTCAAATTTATCTGTTCATCTTTTTCATTTTTTCTTTGCCTCTAAAATGTCCTTGTAGAGAAATAGAATCTGCTTTGGTATGAATATCTATTAACTGGAGACTAGATAATGAATATCAATGACCCACCAAAAATTTCAAGTTCTACTATAATTAAATGTGTGATTAGCTTCAAATAAGATGGACCTTTAATGTATCAAATAATTTCCAATAAAGCTAGATAACTCCAAAAGGCCTTCACTTTGAACCAAAAACTTAAGACATAAATGGAAGGTTTGAGACAAGCGATGCAGCATAGATGGCACTAGGCTGAAATTGAACAGTCCTATGCATCATTTTTTACAATTTTACCTATTTATCTCTTCCCTAATTTTGCCTAAAAATGGATAGTGTTAAAATGCACTCCAGTAGATGCAAGAAGTCATTGTTTACCCTAACAAGAAGGAATTCTTACCAAACAAGAGTAGTGCAGGTGAAGGGTAGGTGGTGAGTGGCAAGAAAATGATCTCTCTGATGTAGACTTTTTCACTTTAGTTTGGTTTTACATTTTTCCAATGAATTTTTTAGTGAGTGCGAAATATGAGAACATACAGAGCAGGTTCTGGCATATTAACTATTGAGCTCACTATATCCAAGTGTGAAGGTTAAAAATACAATTATTTAGGAAATCTGGAAATATCTGTAGATCTCTTGTGAAACCTGAGTCCTGATTGGCCACTGATTCAATCAATTTATATCTGTAGATCTCTTGTGAAACCTGAGGCCTGATTGGCCACTGATTCAATCAATGGATAAGAATGATCAAGGAAAAGAAAAAGCAGTTTTAAAACAAAGAACAAGGATCAATATCAGCTGATGTGTACCCTCAGAAAGCAACGTTCTGTAATAGAGGCAGAGATTTCAGCACCAAATCCACCTGTTATTGGAGCTTCATGACTAACCTAGGAACAAGAAGAATCAAATACATCAAGGATTAGAGCCACTTTCATCGTAGAACATATTTTGCGTTGAGTAATAATACTCACCAGAAGCCGTCCTGTTTTATTAACAGAGGACTCTATTTTTTCCTTGTCCCATGGTATTAGAGTTTTTAGGTCAATCAGTTCACAAGATATCCCGTCCTACAAAATCATGATGCAATTCAAGATAAGGTAATAAGATATTATACTTTAAAGATCTCATTTTCAGAAGGAAATATGGATAAAATGAATTTTTGTTTCGACAGTGAGTGCTGGAGTTATTTCAGTTTTTAACATAATTTTGAATAAACACTGATAGGAAGAAAATGCAAAAAATCATCTTGAACAGGTACCAATTTCCAACAGTCACCAAGCACATTTCTAGCTGCTTTGAAGTGGAGTGGTGTGGTAAAGCTTCTCTACTAAGACACATAATAAAATAAAGAAAAATAAGCATCTATGGATAGTTTAGCATGGAGAACTACCAACCTTTTCAGCTTCAACACATGCCTGTTCCATTACTGATAGCTGAGCGCCCCAGCCAACAAGAGTTATATCACTACCTTCTCGTATCACCTGTAATTTGAGTGTGCAATATATTTAAATGTAGAATTATTTATTAACTAAGACAGAAATAGCATACCTCAGCCTCTGATAAAGGCAACATGTAGTCATTCTCCGGAACCTCTTCCACAGCCAGACGGTAAAGCCACTGAGAGCAATTGAAGGCATGCTTGATGATATAACTTATGTCGATGATCTTATGCCGTTTTAAAGTAAGAAACAAAGGAATACCTTTGGTTCAAAAAACACAACTGGATTCGGGTCACGGATAGAAGATAATAACAACCCTTTCGCCTGTTGGGGACTTCGTGGGATAACCACCTATAAGGAAGCAAATTAGATGAAAGTCCATAAATAATCAGGAGCAATAAGCACGTGTCTGGTAGCCGAAAAGAAAATTCAACTTAAGATGAAAAGAAACTGTCATTGACACGCTACACTTAGTCAGAATGCTTGCTTATACAACGTATTGGGGATTGGGGGGGCATAGCTGCACAAAATCATTAACTTCACAAGACATCCTATGTCATTGTTTCCACTTCTTCAGTAAGATTCATAAAGGGAAATTTTGATTTGTAAAGGGAAAAGATTTGTAAAGAAACCATTTGATTAATCAGTGCACGTAAGATTCTACGATCATATGCTTAGACCATTATTCATAAAGGTAATTCTTTTATTTGTATGGAAACAAAGTCAAGTATTCTACACAAGGGGACCGGTGTACAGCAAACGCTTTTTTAAAAAATAATAATAATAATAATAAATAAATAAATAATAATAATAATAATAAACTAAACGACGTCATGTTGTTCTTTTTCACTTTTCCCTATTTTATCATTCTATGATCTTCTGCTAGAATCAACAGAATTTCAACTGCACATTGTGTAGGAAAATACATGCACGAGTCATAGCAAAATTCATACAAGATTCAACAAGATATACACCTTAATACCAGGGACGTGACAGAAAAAAGCTTCAGGAGATTGTGAATGGTAATGTCCTCCATGACCCACAGCTCCATAAGGTGCTCTAATTGTCAAACCTGAGAAAAACGAGCATATTAGAACATGAAACGAAAAGATAAAAGCACAGAGTAGAAAATCCAGTGTAGGAGCCCCCATAAATACCTCCACAGTTAAATTGATTACCACTCCGGTATCTGAACTTGGCAGCCTCATTGACAATCTAAGATTAGAATAGACATTTGTCAAACAAATGTAAATTTGTGGATGTGGAAATGCAAAAGGATAAGACACGAGCCTGATCAAAAGCAGGAAAAATATAATCTGCAAACTGAATTTCAGCTATCGCTCGATTCCCCTGTAATTTGAGACAGCACAAAAGTAGCAGTAATACTAAATACAAGGTAATTATAACTAAAAAATTGGGGTTTAAGGTTTTGGTTTGGAAGCTTGAAGGCAATAAATTCAGTGCCTACCATTGCTGCCAGACCAATTGCAAATCCAACAATGCCCTGCTAGTACAATTAATACCACTAAATAAACTTTCTTCCAAATACATGTCTAACTGAAAAATGCATACTACACAGAATTTGGCAAAGTAAAACCTGCTTCCTTTAGTCTATTTACAAGTAACAAATGCATACCATATCATACTAATGGTGCATCTGTTCCCATATTATCGAGGAGATTTTACTGCCTTCCATTTGGAATCACACGCAAAATAAAATGTTGTTGTCTTGCATAACTAATAATTACCTGCTCGCAAAGAGGAGTATTGAAAACTCGCTGTTTGCCAAATCGATCGGATAATCCCGTTGTGCAACGAAAAACTCCACCAAAACCAACATCTTCTCCAAATACATAAGCACTAGAGAAACATTATACAAAATAAGCAAAGGAACAAGTTGACCGCAGGTCGATCCAGCAATTTGGGGGAAACGCGTAGATCTGTTGATTGTCGAGAGGAGAGAGCGAGAGAAATGAGGGATAAAGAGAATTTTACGTGTGTGAGGCGGTGGGAAATGACGAATTGAAGGAAAACACGCGCAAGAACGAAACGGCGTCGTATTGGGCGACGATGACGTGGCAAAGTGGCTCTTTTAGTATAGTTAGGAT